TAGCTAGACAGCTGTGGCTAGCTAGCTAGCTGTGGCTAGCTAGCTAGCTGTGGCTAGCTAGCCACTGGTACCTGCGCGCCCCCTTTGTTGGGCCCTTCGGCGAAAAGGGACTCCGCCATATTTTCGACCACTCCCAGCACTGGCAGCTTCACCTTCCGGCTGCAGACACAGATGCAGCAGCAGCAGCAGCTAGCTAGCTAGCTAGCTAGATAGCTAGGCAGCTAGCTAGTTAGCTGGCTAGCTAGATAGCTAGCTAGGCATCTGCCTAGCTGGCTAGCTGCCTAGCTAGGCAGCCGAACGCAGCAATCAAAAGGGGTGCAGCTAACTCGCTACGCAGGCAAATAACTAGCTGCACCTTCAGCTAGCCAGCTAGCTAGCTAGCTGGCCAATTCTCTGGCCAGCTAGCTAGCTAGCTAGATAGCTAGCCAGGTTCTAGCTTGCTCGTTAGCTAGCTAGCTAGCTGCAGTCCTCTAGAGAGACGCCAATGCCCTGTAGCTAATACAGCCTCCCCTGACGCACGAAAATCCTAAACCCTAAACCCTAAACCCTGAACCCAAAGTCCTGAACCCTAAACCACCGTATCCCAAAACCGTAAACCGTAAACACTGCACCCAAAATCCTAAACCCTAAACCCTAAACCCCAAACAATAAACCCTAAACCCTAAGCCCTGAAACCCAAAAGCTAAATCCTAAGCCCCAAACCCTAAAGCCTAAGCCCTAAACCTCAAACCCTAAACCCCAAACCCTAAACCCTAAACCCTAAACCCTGACCAGAAGTTGATTTGTTTGCGAACATCCTGCAGCGCCGCCTCTTGAGGAGTTGTGACGATGAGGGCCCCGTCGGCTTCCAAAAGGGCCGCCAGAGAGATGTGCTCGTCCGAAGTCCCTGAGGACACACCCACAGCTAGCTAGCTAGCTAGCTGGCTAGCTAGCTAGCTGGCTAGCTAGCTAGCTAGCTAGCTGGCTGGCTAGCTGGCTGGCTGGCTTGCTGGTTAGCTGGCTGGATAGCTGGCTGGCCAGCTGGCTGGCTAGCTGGCTGGCTACCTAGCTAGCTACAGGGCTAGGTAGCTAGTTAGCTAGCTGGACGACTGGCTAGCTGGCTAGCTGGCTGGTCGGCTAGCTAGTTGGCTGGCTGGCTGGCAAGCTGGCTAGCAAATCTAGCTAGCTAGCCACCCTGCTGACCAGCCAGCTAGCCAGCTAGCCAGCTAGCTAGCCACCTAGCTAGCCAGCTAGCTAGCTAGCTACCTGGGGGTGTGTCCACGAGGAGGAAGTCGAGGTCTCCCCAGTTGACATTGGCCAAAAAGGATTTAATTAATAAATTCTTTTTGGGGCCTCGCCAGATGACTGCGCTGTCGGCTTCCGGCAACAGAAACGCTGCACACACAAACCCTAAACCCTAAACCCTAAACCCTAAACCCCAAACCCCAAACCCTAAGACCCAAACCCTAAACCCTAAAACCCAAACACTAAACCCCTAGCCCCAAACCCCAAACTCCAAACCCCAAACCCCAAACCCCAAACCCTAAACCCTAGCCCCCAAGCCCCAAACCCTAAACCCTAAACCCTAAACCCTCGGGCGTGCCTATGGACATGAGGCAGAGGTCTGGGCGGACGAAGGCGGGCTCCCAGCCGTCAGCACTTTGGAAAACTTCTGCTGCTTGCTGCTGCAGCATCAGCGGCAGCGAAGGGCCGCAGAGGTCCAGGTCGCACAGCCCCACGGCCAAACCCTCGCTGTTCAACGTCCACCCTGCAGCAGCAGCAGCAGCAGCAGCAACAGCAGCGGCAGCGGTGTGGGCAGGCCCCGTCGTTCAGTGTCCACCGTACCAGCAGCAGCAGCAGCAGTAGCAGTAGCAGCAGTAGTAGTCGCAGCAGCAGTAGCAGAAGGGGAGACCTCGCTGTCCAGTGTCCGTAGCAGCAGCAGCAGCAGCAGCAGCGTCGAGGTGCCGGCAGCAGCAGCAGCGCGACGAAAACACAACGCCAAAGACAGCAGCAAACTCGCAACAGCAGCCGCACGTTGTTGCTGCTGCTGCTGCTGCTGTGCGGCAAAGAAGCGCTGGAGGCCTACAGGAACCCCAAAACCTAAACCCTAAACCCTTAGCCCTAAACCCTAAACCCTAAACCATTAACCCTACCTAGCTGTGAAGCCACTGTGGACTTGCCGACGCCTCCTTTCCCCGAGAGGATGATGATTTTCTTTTTTACGTTTTTCAACTTCTGAGCGACTTCAGGATTCTTTGGCTGCTGCTGCTGCTGCTGCTGCGCGGATTCTGCTGCTGCTGCTGCTCCTGGCTCTGCTGCAGCAGAAGCTGCTGCTGCTGCTGCTGCGCCTCCCTTTGCTGCTAGACACAGGCTGCGCCCCGGGCACCCTTCGCAGCCAGCAGCCAGGCCAGCCATTTGGCTCTCGGGGCCTGGGCAGCTCTCAGATATATCTTGCTGCT